CTAACAAGAGATATAAAGGAGGCAATATTCTGGAGTTTGGACTGTATCTTTAAATTTGTAGGTCATTATCGTGTGGATGTTTATGAAAGCTATGTGTCTGGATGAGATTCCCCAGGAAGGGAAAATGAACATGACAAGGAATGAGTGGTAGAACATTCTAACCCTCAGAGATTATAAAGAGGGGAAGGATTCAACAAAATAGGAGCTGAAGATTAAATGAATGACAAACAAGGAGTCAAAGAAGGAAGTTTGAAGGGGAAATTCATCAACTTTGTCTTATGCTGCTGGTAAGTCAAGATGGTGACCAAGAATAGACCATTAAATTTGGCAAAGGGGAAGAAATTTGATGCCTTGACTATGGAGTGTTAGGGACAAAAGCATGATTGGACTGGGTTCAAGAAACTAGAAAAATTCTGAAGCCCCCTTTATAGCTATGGCAAAATGATGAAAAATAACCTGAAAAAAAAGATGTGGAGGATAGTTACAGAGGGTCAAAAAGAATAATAATGCTTTTTCAAATACTCCAAACAACTTCAAAATATTTTATTGGACATCTTCTACACATCCAAAACTGTTAGGTGAGTTTTAAAATGTTTTTCTTATTTGTTACTTTAACATTTTGAAATTAAGCAAACTTTTAAAAAGAAAAAAGTATGTCTATATTCCCATAATCTTAATACAATAATTTCAATTACTATCATATGTTTCCATAATTTTATATAGTCTTATTAATTATATTATAAGCCATTTCCTTTGTAGATATGCTTTTATAATGTGTTGATTATAACAGCAAATACTTTAATGTATGAGTACACAGCATGGTTATTTAATTATTTTTATTCCCAACTGTTTATGTTGTCTCCAAATTATAATATTTAATACTGTGATTATTTGTTTCTATGCTTTTCATCCTTATTAAGCTATGAGTAGCCTCTGGGAGTCCAGGGCCACATCTATTTCAGTTCTGAATCACCAGCATGTACCTGGGACAGTGTCACTTTAAAAAAAAAAAATTAATTAAATTGATTGGGGTGACATTGGTCAACATGAACATAGAGGTTTCTGGTGTAGGTTTCTATGTTACAAGATCTGCATATTGCACTGTGTGCCTACCACCCAAAGTCAAATATTCTCTTATCACCATATATTAGGACCCCCTTCCCCCCTCCCCTTTCCCTCTCGGAATGACTTTTAGGAAGCACATGACACCATATAGCAAAGTGGTGAAAAGTAAAAAACCTACAGCCTCAGTTCAGTTCTCATTTTGCATTTTCCACTTGTAGACTTGTGGCCTTGGGCAAAATACAACTTCTACATATCTCATCTATAAATTGGAGATAATAATAGTACCTTATTGATTATTTAGAGAATTCAATGAGCTAATATATGCAGAGTGCCTACACCATTGTAAGCACATATTATATAACTCCTTGGTGTTTTATATAAGAAAAAAAAACCAATGCCCTGAATACATTTAATGAATGAATAATAAATCAAAGAACAGTTTTATTTTTGCTTTACAAAGGTAACTTTTAAAATTCTTTTGGATATTTTGTTTTGGGTTCAGTAACAATGATGTGACAAGTATTATGTACAAGGTAAACAGAGACAAATACTTTATTGGGATTGATTTTCATAAGTGATATAAATAAAGAAAATAACACATATTTTTACTGCTTTGATTCTACTGTGATTTGCCCTGGGGAGTTAAGCTCCCTGATGCCAGGGTCAGTGTCTGGCTTCTGCATTGCTATCCATCATCAGCAGGTACATAGAGTCTGCCACCTGCTACTTCCCAGATGCTTTTTTCCCCCCTTTCATGTTTTTTTTCGCCTTCTCCTTAATTACTTTCTCTGGATCTATTTTTTTTGATACATAAATTAATAAGGTTCAATTAGGTAACTCTAAGAGCAAAAGAAAAATCAAGGATGTGGTGGTGGGCAAGGCATGTGTAAAGAGACAAGTCATCTTGGTAGATTGCCTTTATTAGGGATTTCAGAAATGAGGATTTGTGGGCCTGCCAGACAGGACTACCAGGAAGCAACCACAGGTTCTTGAATAAAGGAGTTGACTTAATGAAAGCCATTATAAAGCTTCTCAGGATGATTATACGGACTACCATCTGGAGTGGGAGAGGGCGCCTGAGGGCTCTTGTAGAAACCTGGACAAATGAGAAAGATAAAAGGGAAATAATTCTTTTGAGATTAATTCCTTCCACCACAATTATTTTGTTCATTCATTCATTCATTCAGTATATGAGCAAAATAATTGTGGTGGAAGGAATTAATCTCAAAAGACTATATATATATATATATCTCGAGTGCCTTCTTTGCGCCAGGCACTGTGCTAGGCACTGGGTAAAAATCAGTGGAAAATACAGGATCCAGTCCTGATGTCCTGACCAGTTGTTTGTTCCCAGGACTGTCACTTGCAGCAGAGTAAGTGCTCAGGACCACCCAGATTGACTCTGTTACTTCCTGTGGAGCTCTGTGCTTGGGGTAGGCGCTCAAATTCTGTAGCCTATATCGATGTGCTTGGGGTAGGCGCTCAAATTCTGTATCCTATATCGACCCACAGCCTTGGTGCAGCATAACTAAATGCACAGAGCGGGGAAGAAAAGGCCGGGTGGCATCTCTCTTACCTGTGAGACCACAATCTCGCAGTGAGCGCGGGTGTGCATCTAAGTGTAGGGTGGGGGCATATCTTCCCAGAGCGCCTGGCACAGGACCAGGCTGCAGGACCAACCTTCTCCTTTCCTTGCACGCTCAAGCCAGCCCAGGCGGTGGCAGGGCGCCAGAGGGAACCGGGCCGAGCTCAGCCTCGCTTCCGCCCGCAGACCCGCCCCGCGCGGCTCCTCCTCGCTGCCGGCGGGGC